GTGAACATTATTTTTAATTTATTTTTCTTTTCTGTATTGACAGGTACATGAATCACTATGCTGAACTTCCTGCCAGATAAAAAATTAATTATGACAATGTCATAACTGAGAAATCTAGAATGGAAATACTGTGATCTTCTGTGTTAGGTATGTTACTTAAAACTGTCAATTAAATGAAATCTTGACAGCCATGTTTAGAAATTATAAACTATTTTTAGGAGTTTTCAGTACTGGAATTGCCATGGGAAAATACAACGCTAAAAGAAGCTAAGCAACCGCAAATATAAAACTTACGTCTCCACTGCCAAACCAGGTGCCATCAAACACTCCACTGTTCTCCTCTTGAAGACCCAGTTCTTCCTTTAAGAATGAGTACTTCGGATCATTTATCAATGCTGAAGTGGACATGTGTCTTCTCTGTAATGCTCTTTTAATTTTATAGCAAGAAGAACCTGTTTGTTCCAGTGCTTTGGGATATGAACCTAGACAAAGGGCACAACAAACTGTGCAATATTACAGTTTACACTTGCCTAAAGAAAAAAGTAGTTTCCTGTTTATTTGAAATGAATACAGTAAAGTGCTGAGGGCCCCCCCCTCTCCTAATGTAACACGCAGCTGGCCCTTGATCTTGGAAAGCTACACAGAACACAAATCGTAGATTATTTAAGAAGTTTCCAAAAGCAATCAATGCATTAGCATGACCCACTACTCCACACGAGACCCTACAATGATCCCTTGCCTGATAAACATTTCTTTGAAAGATCATAATGTTCTCGGTGATTTCACCTGTTTCATATATTATAGCACTACATACAAACATAAACTGAGAGTAATAGTACTTTCTGTGATTCCTGGCAGCCGCATTATTCTCCATGCATTCTGGTTCTTTATTATTTTTTCACACATTGCATGTTATAAGATACACCGAACCCTGGGCCTGCCAGCATTACACAAATTTTTCAGGAATACATAAATAACTATTTCTGTCTTTACTACTACTACTACTATGGCGTAACAGCCCAAAATCGAGCCCTAGCCTCCTCATTTCTGTCATTACCTTAATAGAAAACCAATCTTTGTTACCTTGGCTCCAGCTGCACTTACATTATTGTCTTTGACTGCTCTAACCATAAAGACTGCATCTGTTTTCTGGAATTAAATTTTGTCCTGTGAACAGGTGTGATACAGACCTTTACCCCCACTCAATCTTGGTCCCATTATTCTCACTTTAACCTGACACTAGTAGAACTTTTATCACAAAAGACAATTCAAAATTTGGATTCAGGCATTTTCCTCTGTATGACAATGTTCAGCAGAATGCATTTAATTCACACACAAGTCTGGGTGATAACAACCCTAATTACCCAGAAATCTTTTTTTAAAGGGGGGGAAGAAAGTTTTATTCCTTAACTTCATTCAGGAAATATTGTTATTACCAAATCCTCCCCTTGCTTATTTCTGGCCTGTTCTCGACAGGAAAACAATTTTAATCATGACCACTTCCTCAATGACTGGACTGCTCAGCCAGTAAGTCAGTGGTTACATATACATCAGTTTCCTTCCTGGTAGGGGGGCACAAATGTTTATTCTTGCTGCTGCGTTCAGACCACATCTGGGGGCCCATCCAACCTCCTAGCCAACAGGTCCCTTGGTAATAAAGCAGCCACAGCATGCAGGTAGCAACACATTAACAATGTGTGGCACTTAATGCACTTACGCATAGAAGCGACTTTAATGCGTTCCTCTAGAGTGCAGTCAGAAGGACTACAGCCTATCTTTTATTTCTTCCTTTCAAAACTTTTTTATATTACAGCATCAATGAATATGCTTAATGTAGTCTTCATGGGGCAATGAAAAGGGTGTGGCTTTATTTGGCTGAAGATATGGTCTAGTGATAGGCCTTTCTAAAGAAATAAATGAACCTCTGTGTCATAAAAACACAATTTGATCAGCAAACAACTACAGACTTTTCCAGACAGGAGAGTATTCATTCTTTCAGTTAGCATAAAATAATATTTTCCATTTGATGTATTTCACTGCACAGTACTTAAAGTACCTTAAAACACGGCATGACAACCTCTGCCCAAAGCAATATCCTTTTAGTATGATCAAAATTGAGACTTGAACTACAAACCAGCCATACAGCACTGAAGTATTGCATGTCGGCACTGACGAACATGGATAAAACCACTGCTGACTGACATTTCTCCTTAAAAAAATTGCAGGGAGATTATATGTGGTAGATGACAGGATTAACTGTACTCAACATGTTGCAAATGCACCACAAGTGTTTGCAGAATGAACCCCGTTTCCTGAAACAAATGCGTCTGGTACAACTGAATACTTTAAACCTTGCTACTAACTCTAATGACTAACAATTGCTCCTCTAAAAAGGAGGCTCCAAAAACAATATTAAGAAGCACAAAACTTGCTATATAAATAAGTGACCTCAACCTTGTAATCGGTCTTTCATTTAAATTTGATCAAACTTTTATCAGTGAAACTCCTTATTATAAATTGTATGTCAAAATAGTACCTTAGATCCTTCAGGCACACCAAATGTTACTATTCACATGTTTTAAGGACTGACAATAACTGGCACGCATATCTAAACAAATACATTATCTGAACTTTAGACCCTTCTCTGTGATTGGAAGATAACCTTGCTGGCCTGTTGAAGATAAATAAAAGCATTGTTCTTACATATGTCAGTGCTCTAAGTCTGTCCTGTACAGCTGGGTATAAATATACTTAAACATTGGCATGCCACACTAGGGTGTAGCAAGTGACGGTTCTTTTCAAATTTAAACATTAAACTTCCAAGTTAAAATATTTCTGTTCACAATACTACCTCTCCTTATAATAAGTAATGACACCACTTCATACTGAACTGCATCACTTTCATGCATTTATAAAAAATTAATTTACAAAGAATATTATGATCTTTATTAATAATTCTTAATTCTCGATTGATCCAGGGCTTCTTTTTCTGGAAAGAAACATACCAGAATTCACGTGTAATGACACAACAGCGGGGGATCAACTGTAATGACAATTATTAAAAAAATCAGTCTTAAAAATACTCTTTAGTAGTGGACAACAGAAGATACACAACTCACCCACAGTAGCAGGTTAATGTTACAAGATGTTCCAAATCTGCATCATGTTTTCAGCGACTTCACGGTTTGCTTTGTGTAGCTGTTGCTCATTAAGAAGCATGATGGGCTCACACACAAGAGTGCGTGTGTGTGAAAAAGAGCAAATGCAGATGAAGGTGCAGTTGAGCACTGGAAGACAGAGTTACTGCTGAGGCATCTGGAAGGCTGCAAGTCAAAGAACCATATTTTTAATTCTGATAAAACTCACATTTTCTTCAACCTTCTTCATAACAAAACCCTTCAATGTACCAGTAGCTATTTTTCTGCAACCCACAGAGTCAACGAAGTTCCTAAATATCTTTCATACATAACTCCAAGTAACATATTAGGTCTCTGAAGTGCATGAAAAATGTAGGCACCCCTTGGCACAGTGTTGGCTTCAGCAGGTCTCCATTATGCAGTAATGTTTGGAGGGGAGGGAGGTGGTGTTTACAGACATTGGCCCTTCCTATGTTTAATCGCCATATATTGCAGACTATACTACATGACCTCATATTTTGAGATGCCGAGACAAATACTTCCTTTGTTACTGTTCATTTCCTTTCTTCTGAGTAAATGAAATATGAAGTTAGTTTTCTGTTTTGCACTGAATCAGGCTGATGTTACTCTTCTGACCATTTGTTCAGATCACGAAGAGAGTATATGAACACTTTATAATTGTGTGCAAGCCTGTTTTCAACAAAATCACAAGAAATGTAAATTATGAACAATTACAACACAGAAATAAAAAGGATATGTATGTAATAATTTTTAATTATACATGAGTAAAGAATAAATATTAACATTTCTGTTATTAAATCATAATTCCATTGTAGATTTCATGTATAGAATACCATTTTTGCAAAATATGACAAATTCAGTGATTTTCTTAATTTTGTTTGAAATGGACTCTGGTGCAATGCCTGTGATATCAATTTTATTATGATGGCTTGTATGAAATTCCATCTAGCTACACCATGAAATTGTGATTTAAATGCATTATTAAAGGGTTAATGAAAGAAACATGAAACAAAAGATAATTTGTGAAATTTCATCTGTGGTGCTGAAGTTCATTCTGAGGCACATTTCAGTTCTTAAAAATGTAAGTTAGAACAAATGGAATTACAGATCCAACAACTGTCTCTAACACTTCACACTTAACACTACTTTAGCTACTCCCGACCTTCATGAACAATCCATGTACAGAGAAGTGGGGATCCATAAAGTTGTAGTAACTTCACCAAGTTCTAACATATCCAGAGACTTCATAAAAGTCTAAATGATCTTTAAGGAAACAAGCCCATTTTTCAAGTCCTCCATGGCAATAATTTGGAAAATTTACTGACACATTTATATGTATGAATAGGTTCAGGTAAAGTGACGCAGTCGTGAAAAAAAATCAAATGACCACAATAATAACTGTTGTTTGTATTAAATATCTGTCTTTAAACATTACTACAATAATTATTAATTCTTACACAAAACAGACAGCCTGAAATCACTTACAATGTGCACTTCATTTTCTGTCTGCCTTGGCATCTTAACTTTTACTCTCTGCTTCTTCATACTGAAGCCAATTCTCTAGTTATATCTCTACTTCTGACTAAAAATAAAACAAATTATCTGAAAGTTCTGAACAATACTAAATTTATAAACTTTAATAACAAAAATATTGGCACTTTATGATAACCTCTTGTTAAACATTACTCTTGCGATTTAACACCCAAGAATTCTTTCTGTTGCTGTTCACTACACACAGAGCTTGCACATATTTACACTGTCAGATCCGGATGCTGAGATAGCTTGCAAATACCAACCACAGTTCTCGGTTCTCGTAGTGAACAGCAGAAGGACCTCTTCTTACTTATAACACATTTCCTAATTACAGTGAGGTCTTCTGTGTTGTGACATTATGTAGTGTGTGTTACAACCACAAAGGCCATAACCACGCTAACTCAATCTTTAGAATTCACAGATGTCACCCAACGCTTCTGCTAGGGAACAGAGGGAAGCAGACACAGCAGAAATGAACACATTTTCTGCTTTACAAATGTTGCAATTCAAACCCTAACTGAGAAAGCTGTATGAGTTTTACAAAACTCAAATGGACAATATGAAGAAGGCATGTACCTATATATGCCAGATTGCCATCTTAGTGTGGATAAAAGCTTGGTCCTTTTCAAGGGCACATCAGGATGGATTCAGTGCATACCTAACAAAAGGGCCTACTATGCAATAATATTTGTTGTAGGTGCTGATACTAATTCAGGATATGTTTGTGCTGCACAATTCAATGACAAATCTTGTAATTATGGACGCTAACACGTGTAGTTATGACAGTACTAGAATCGTGAAAGTACTAATGAGCAGCTCCTAGTAGACCAAAGGACATATACACGTGGGACTGTGAATGTCAAGAGAAGGGATATGCCTCCACAATTAAGAAGCTGTAGGCTCAATAAAAGGGAATACGAGGTTTCACAGAGTGGTAAAATTCTTCTTCTCTATGATGATAAAAATACCACATGGACATTGAGTGCTGTGCATAATCTAACCATACAAGTTCAAGGTAGCTCAGCAAAGAATATTGTTTAAAACCCAGAACTTGGAGCAGAATATATCTTAACAATGTGTGCCACAGACAGGACAGATCAAAACATGTCACAATATTAGAAAACAACAAAATGCGACAAAAGGTAGTATAAGGAAAAATTCCATCATCTCATGAACATGGAAGTCTTTGTAATTTACAAGGAGCTCAACAGATAGAATGACTATGTGTACTTCTGTGTCAAGCTTACTAGAAGCGTACCATAAGGAGTGAGCTGAAAGATTCCACACCATTTTGGTCAGAAGCAAGACATTTTCCTGATGATTTCCCACAGATGGCGAACAAGAAAGTCCCTTTGTGGAGATGTGCGGTGTGATGCAGTAAGACAGATCATGAAGGTAAGAAGACGCCAGCACACAACCTTGATTGCAAAGTGGGATTCTGCTTAATACCCTATTTCAGAATTTACATGTCTAAAGAGGGACTAGAGCAGCTACATAATTATTTCCATGTAAGTTTATGTTGGATTTTAGCTCTGAGTATAAAGATTACAGTCTGCTGGTATGTGACATAGCCTAGTTTGTTAGATGAGTACCATCATGTTAGGACAACCTCTTGCCTCAATCACGAGGATCATTATTGTATCCTGAAAGTGGAGGAAACAGGTTCCTCCAAAATGTTGGTACCCCATCTAGAAACCAGGGTGTCACAATTGAGGGGGCAGAAATCTTAAGTTTTCTTTTAGTTCAATGACATAGCATATTCAAGAGATGCTGATGATAAATGACCATAAAATTGTATTCAGTGATATACAAAAAAGCTGACAATTTCAAAGGATGAGTTCAGTGCCTACATATGCACAGCATACAGTAATGGCACTTCGTTCTACTACCCTAAGTCAAAGTATTCTGGACCTTACTCCACTGATCAAGCAAAGGAAAAGGATGTGAAATCCTTGCACCAATACATACACAGAAATACATTTCTGACCGCTACGTCAAGATTTCCAATATAAAATACCCAACTAACTAACTAGATGGCTTACCGAACCCGAAGGTTCATCACCGAACTAACCAAAGCCCTCCACCGGCCCCTGTCCTGGGCCAACAAAATCCAGTCTCCTTCAACTCCTATCTCCCATAGATCCCGCCTGAGATTATCCTCCCATCTACGTCTGGGTCTCCCCAGCGGTCTCTTCCCTTCAGGTTTCCCAACCAATACCCAGTGCACACCTCGTCCCATCCATGCGTGCTACATGCCCCACCCATCTCATTCTTCTCGACTTAATCACCCTGACAATATTGGGGAAGGATTACAGATTTTTAAGCTCATCATTATGCAGTTTTCTCCATGCCCCATCATCTTCTCTCTTAGGCCCAAATATCCTCCTCAACACCTATTCTCAAACACCTGCAATCTGTGTCCCTCTAAAACACCCAACAAGAACACAAAAAGAGTGTGTAACTTCAATGTCTTGCCTGAACAACACTCTGCAAGGATGACTTTAAATAAAGTGTGAAAAACAGTAAGTTTGATGAAACGTAATGTTTAAATGTTTAGTTCAGTCTTGCATTTTAAGGGAATGATTGAAAAACACTCTTCACAATGAAATATATTTAACAAACATTTAAAATTACTTAAATACAGGGTATACAGTTAGTCATTGGACTGGATCCTAAGCTGACATGGCACACCACAGTACTTAATTATTCATGATCTGCTTTTCTGCTCTAGTTAAACTTACCTTATTTTATAGAACAGCCCTGAAGTGACAACCCGCATGCCTCACACAGTAAGAATATGTTTCTGAAAACATGCAGACATTGCTGTACAGGAATAGTGCAGATTTCAAGCCTAATATTTCTTGATGTTCTTCCAGAAAGAAAGAAAAAACAGACTATTCACATACACTTCTTCAATCAGTGTTCCCCACAAATAAAAGTCACAAGGGTTTAAATCGGGTAATCGTGGAGGCCACAATCCTAGACTTACGACTTGTTGCCAAAGCCTTTATCTAATGCAGCCAAAGAATTTGGCGTGCTGTTGCATAACCCTGTTTAAAATGGTCACATGATTTTTCATGTCAATTAACCAAAGAAAGTGACAAAATCAATCTCATGTTAAATTCTAGGTCAAGAAGTCCATTGAATACTAGTTCCTGAAACCACCTACAGTACTGCTTTCTTGCTCCACAATCTGGAGGCAAAAGACCATACGTGACTAGAGCTGTAAGGTCGTAACTTCAGTAACTTCGTGCAATGTAAGCTGTACTTTTGCGATCTCACAGTGAACAGCAAACAGATGGAAGGACTTCTTTGGGCCCCAATATCATCAAGTTTTTCTCCTGTCATTATGCATTTTTTAAATTACTCTTTGGCCAGTACTGATCCCCCACCCCAAAGTAATTTTGTTGCAATATTGTAAATTGTTGCTTTACACTGCACTGCACTGTACTGTCAGAATAATTCCCATGACAATTTTTACAGAATTTCCTCCACGCTGTTCAACACAATATTTTATTTTTTTAACACTATGTTTCACAACAAAGCAAAGTCTCAAGGAAAACTAACCATGCTATACAAGCAGCACTATTGAGATTTGCGAGAAGCGCGGGAGACTAAGAGACAGTTTGGTGGCCAGCAGTGAGGAAGCACGGGCAAATCTCTAGCCAGCTGGTCCAAGAACAAATTGCATTCCCTGCATTTCATTATAAAATGGCTTATCAACAATTCCCTTTTGACCAAAAACATATATAAAATGCATGAGCCAGATTGCATAGTCATGGAAAATGATTACATCCCACTTGAAAACTCAAATCAGTAATTTTTTTAAGAATCAACTGAATACCATATTCAGAATAAATATTTAAAACCAAAATGCAAAGTTTTATAAAAGTAATTCCATACAAATTTTCAATACTTGACTGAAACTGTCTTCTCAAAAGAGAGTTCATGTCTTGCTCACACCCCTTAAACAGGTACTTGACGGAATGGCTGGTGACTGGCTAACGTTCTGAAGTAGATACTGAAGAGTAAGAAGCTGACCCCATATGTTGCAGGGGCTTCACTGTCCTCATCTACCAATATTTTCTGGACATTTCATTATTTCAATGGACTCCCCTACGATAATTTGGGTAACGTCTGCATCCACATCATGCAGACCCATCCAAAAAACAGTAAGATGGCTACATATGGGACCAGTTACTACACAGTATACAATCTTCTTTCTGACTACAAAGGCAATGTCTCACTGGTTAGAACTCTGGCCAACCACAGGCAATCAACCTATCATCTAAACCAACATACACTAACTATATAGACCACTCAAGACATACCATCCTGATAGCTGCAGTACTGTTACCTGAAACACTGAATGCAGCGGAAGCTCAAAAGCTAATAAGACGCATCATTACATATACTGGCCAGTAACTGGCAAAGCTCTTGAAACAGAACTACATAATAAACAGCCTAGTACTGTACAAAACGTCTGAAGAATAAAACAAAGTCACTAGCGCAGCTCCTGGTAGACAGCCCCTTCATCCTGTGTCGCAGTAACACCCTGAGCTGCCAACTCAGCCAAGCATCGATCCAAGAAGCCCAAGTCAGGAAAACCGTGACCTGTGTTAGATGCTCCTGGCTCTGTCTTGTGGTGTATCTCATTCCATGTCACCACGTCTTCGCGACCCGTTGTCACAGAGCGGCCGACAGTAAATACCAGACGGCGTTCAAAGGCAATGGACAGTAACTTGAGAACTTTGCGACCTTTTTCTGTATCAGGTAAGTAACAGACTCGGGGGAATCCCACGGCATAGTACGGTCTCCCAGGGTTTGGATGTTCTGGACCTTGTATTCCAGAGGCAATGCTGCAAATACAAGATGAAAGCAGAAATGTATAGTATTTTTATCTGAAAATTATTCTAACATGTTCCTTCAGTAATATACACTGTGCAGGGTCTATCTTGAAACGTTGGAAGTTTCACAGCAGATCAAAAAATTTACAATTTTTTTTTTTATGCCGGACCCTGTCCTGAGCCATCTACAACCTCTCTACACACTCACATCCTACTTCTCAAATATCCTTCCTAATAACCTCCCAACTATTCTCTGAAGTGGTTTCCTCTTATGAGGTCTTGCATCTAAAGTGTTGTCTGCATTTCTTATCCCTCCCATGCAGGCTATGTGTCCTGCCAATCTCACCCCATATGATTATGCATGTTAATGAAATTTGGTTTAGAGTACAAATTATGAAACTCTTCAGTGCGTAATTATCTCCATCTTCCAGTCACGTAATATTTTTCAGGTCTAATGTTCACTTCAGCACAGCAATATACTACATTTCACATCTGTACAAAACAAAGGCAACATTACGGCTTTATTAACGTAGCTGGAATAAAAGAAATATTAATACTATAGAAATGTCTCTGGTATTAGAACTGTAAGGTTCAACACTGCTGACACTGAAGTCCTATTTTAAGGCAGTTCTATCTAATCTACTTATTTCTCTATATATTTCCCTAAAATCTCTTAATACAATGGCTACAGCAAAGCATGACTCAGGTTTGTTCAAAATATGAAGCTAAGAGGCCTATGTAGGACGGTTCACTTTTTGAAGACAGCTGTCTTCTGGGTTGCAGTGCCATGTAGTCTGGTAAAAGTTTACCAGTGTTTCAGAGGGCCTTGCTGCCTCCATCATCGGGTCAATGAGTATGACAGAGGCAGCAAGTACGTCTGTAATGTCGGTAAACTTCTTCCAGACGACATGGCACTACAATCCAGAAGACAGCCATCTTCGTACTCACCACCATGAGAACCTCAAATCCTACTTGGTTCATTTTTTTTTTCTTAATAGCATTACAAATATACAAAACGTTTAGCTCAGTGTACATAACTTACAGATTTTACAGCTTTTAAACTTCAGACCTTCCTCACGATGCTAATGAGCTTGTGGTCACTTTAGCCTGCCAATAAAAGTAACTGCCTACCCCTGGATTACAAGAACTGAAAAGCTGCTCACTTGGCTCAAATACAAGAGCATCAACTTACTTGTAAGTGATCTGTAGCGTGCGAGTCCCATGGTGTCCTGGCAAGGAGTAAGGCAGAGGTGTCCAGCACATGCTGCCATGTGGCTGATTGCCTGTCTTCTCACCATAGATTACCATGCATAATGGACACTGTATATACAGGCTCTGCAAACAGAGACAGACATTAATCAGGGATCCGAAGAAATACAGGAAAGTAACGTCTTCATTTATATTTTCCAAGAAAGACCAATGTAGTGGTGTGTTCTGAACGACACTCATTCTGTTCAGCTTAATGTTCACAAAAATGTTATGAAACTGTCTAAAATGTTGCAATACGTCAAGCAATAACAACAATGTGTTTACAAGCTGTTTTTCCAGCCCCCTGTCTTCAATGTCATATCACGTTTCACTTATAAATGCCACACCCCGATCTGGATTGCATAATGTATATGGAGATGAAGCATCGTTGCTCCACTTCAAACCAGAAAAAAAGACTGTTGATACATTGGCATCACGTGAATTCTCTGTGGAAAAAGAAGTTCAAGGCTGCACCTTCCAGGGGAGGTTGGGGGGGGAAGAACTTCAAGGCTAACAGGTGTACATGTGACAATATTATGGTACAGGGGATCATACTAAATATGCAGCTGCCACAATAACATTACAGAGCTCAAATTTTCACGTTTCTATTCCAGCTGAACAGATCTGGTTCTTGTTGGTCTTGCAGTTCAACTTCCCACGCTAGACACCGGCATTTCAAAGAACAGGCACAAAACATCGAACAGTCAAACAAATGCTATCTTTCAAAATGCTGCATTATAACAGCTGTATATATTGTGGTTTGCGTTAATTTTCCTTTCCTTTTTCTCTGATGTAAAACGGCGAAGACGAATTCTTGGAAAGGGTTGCTGTACACATCTTAGATGTAAGAGTTACTGTTTTTCAATTTTTAATTCTTGTTATGCTGTAGTTCATCAGATTTCAGTTTTTTGATGTAATATTTGTGTGTCCAAAACTAGCATAAACATGGTTGAAAGTTCCCCACATCAGAGTCTGTTTTCATTTATATACTGATTGTTCAGAAGTCTTTACTGGCCTGTGGAAAATACTACAATAATATGCATGGCTTTAGCATTGTGGGTGTTAAAAGTGTAGAACCTGTTATGATAACCATAAACTATATCAACACATTCATTCACAGCAAAGATAGACGGAGCTGTTCCGTCCATAACGGCAACACGTTTTTAAAAAGCCTGAAGAACAAAGCAATAAGCAGAATATTTGAATCTCAGACAGAGGGAGTGAAAAGAGGCTGGAGACAACTGCACAATCAGTTAATAATTATGGTGACCACACCTAAAAGAATGAAATCAGTGGGGCATGCAGCTGCACGAGAGAAATAGAAAAGGCACACACAAAAATCAAAATAAAAGTCCTCTATTAGCCTTTACTGTGCTTACCTTGTTAGTACAGGGCTGGCTAGACAGCATGGAGTTCAGGCAGTCCAAGTGAAGCTGGTGCAAGCAATGTGTCAGGGCAACCACCATGGGAGAACCTGGGTTCATATCTTGGAGGCATATCGGGCACTGAGTACCTGGACTTATTTCCGACGCTGTTACAACCTGAACAAATCGTGAAATACCAGCACTGGCAGCATCAACTCCCACGATGGACCCGGATGCTACGGAGTGCTGTGGCGCAGATACATTGTAACACTTGTTGATTGGCTTTTTCCTACCTCCACAAGATGGTGGTTCAAACACATCTTCACTGCTTCCACTACAGTCTAGCAAGTCACCCTGCAGGCAAGGATACAAATTTAAGAGTGCCTTCATTCAGTACGATGATTTCGAACCACAGCATGTTCCATGTCATACGATATTTTTTCAATACCGTGAATGTTCATTCTTTTTAGAAATTATTTTGGATCCTCAATTGAAGTGCTTGCAACAAAGTGCTAAGGAGAATAGTTGAGCCAAGAGTGGGACAGTAACAGGACGAAAAAAATAGCATAACGAGGAGCATAAAATTTTGTACTATTCATCAAATACTGACCGGGAAATTAGACGAACTTCGTGGGATGGCATGCAACGCAGATCTAACTGCACAGCATGCTCTACTTAACTTCTGTATTAGTTTATCGATATGATTTGTCTAGTTTATGTAATCATCAACCCACAAAAATTCCTGTTCATTAACAAGTGACACAATTCGCAACAAAACAAGTGACTGTTTACAAATACCATTGCCACAATGTATGTCAAAAGCCACAATGTCTACCAGCAACGTTGCTAGTACCTGCTCTGTTGTGACATTAGTTTCAGCCACCAGCCGAAGTAGATCATTTAAACACATCAATTATTGGTTTGCATTTCCTCTTCCTGTGATGTGGAAGCACAAAAATCTGGACCTACCCCTACTGACAGTTCACTGCTGTCAGCCATGTAGACCATACCAAAAATACATAAATACCACTGTCTGCAGTTGAGTTACCAGAGACATCAGCAACTGGTAACATATATATATCATCTGAGAGGAATGGTGTGGGTACATGGGTGAGAGAAAAAATAAAACATCTGTATGTCATGACAAAGGACATAATGTGATGCAAACGTCTCAGTGCCTAAATTCTCGAGGGAAGAAGGTACTTTCACTTTCGTCTACATGAGTTTTCCTCGTATCAATGATAGTTTAAGCAAAGAGATAACAAAGAAGGTGTTCTGTGAACTGACCCTAAATTCTCGAGGGAAGAAGGTACTTTCACTTTCGTCTACATGAGTTTTCCTCGTATCAATGCACTTGGTCTTTGCCAGTTTAAACCTGAGGTTTTTTTTTTTCTCTCAGTATGCTTGTGGACTCAGAGCTATAAATAGCTTTAGAATCAAAAGTGGCAGCTACTTAAAAATCACTTGTTATGACGAACATTCAGGAAAAGATCTCCAGTTCTATGTGACACTTTCCATACATCTAATGTTAAGAAATAGATGGTGCTGAATACTTTTCTCACTATAAGGACGTTCTTGCCACAGGTCACAGTCGTTCTATTATGGTTATGCTATTAATAAGGAATAAGGAACACGGTGAGAGAATGTATCGACTGGACTAAAGTGGCTCAAGATAAAGTGCAATGAGAGGTAAATAACTTTAGGTTACATAGAGTAAGGAATTTCTTGATCAGCAGGATAACCACAGACTTTTCAAGAAATACCATGCAACACATTGTTAGTTATTAAAGTAACAAAGCTGAAAGGACAATATGATGGTTACATACACCAACTGGAAAACCATGAGGAAGATAATTCTTTTACTGTCAAATTACCTGTGAAGCTCGTGGCTCACTGTCTTTGGATTCATGACTGAGGTATGTCGACACTGTATCGACACTAGGCCTGCGCCCACTCTTGGTGCTACTGGAGTCGGCATCCAACACAGTATCGCCGACCCCAGCCCCAGTTGCTTTTGGCATTGGCACTGGACCACCCACAGCTCCACCACTGCTGTTACTACTAGTACTGTTACTTCCCTTGTTACCTGCAGAAAATAAATTCAAAAAATCCACAATGACATAGCATGGAAAGAAATAAGCCACAAATTCAAAATCAAAGACAAAACAAGACAGAAAATGACAAATCAGTAACAGGTTCTGCAAAGTTCTTACGGTTCATAATTCCCTTCAAATGCCTGTTTTAGTGAGACGCTCATAAACATGGGTGTGTGACCATAGGGGTGGCAGGTCCCCACTGTGACAATATGTTCCCAGGGACCATAATCAAGAACATGAGGACTATCAGTGACCTTGTAAGACAATTTGTCACTACACATTAGATGTGTATTTGTTTGAAGTGCAATTCAGTCATGTTTAAGTGCCCTTGGTTTGTATCATAGTATAAAAGTTGTATAAAGTTCCCTGAAGCAGCATTATTAACTGCCAGAGTAAACACTCTCGGTGTTTCGCATTGGTCCTCCATTATATGAGAATCAATCTGATAAATCACTAGACTTAACTACACTTCAGTTGAAACAGATGTATCTAGTTGTGCTCCTTGGGGAACTAAAAGGATGTCGACAGCACACACGTTTAATCATTTTTAACGTTACAATGATACAATTAATTCCACACATTTGTTACATGGTAATGAGATTTCAAGTACTTAAGAACTAAAGAATTTCTTGTCCAGATGGGCAACTAACAGCTTTCCAAAGAATAACCTGTACCATAAAACTAGTTTACTTACTACTCACCAAATATATTGAGATTACTCAGGATGGTACGAGCAATGTTTCCTGCTGCGGTACTGCTGTTGCTGTCTCCATTAGCTGACGAGCTCTTCGACGCTTTCTTGTTACTGGCTTTCTTATTTCCTCCTGCACTACTTGATTTCTTGTTGCCTCCAGAGAAACCAGTTGGAGGCAGCTGCCCATTAGGTCCTCTGTGATGGTGCCCAGAGTTACCCCTACTTCCTGGACACTGTATTGCCCTGCGGCCTGTAAAATACACAAAACGCGATGGAATGCTGCACACAGAACAAGCAAAACCACAATATGTAGGAAGAGGGTTGGATTGATGGAGTAGTTAAAAGAATTACAGAAGAAAAAAATTGTTTGTACCACACATGTGATGAGAAATAAAATTAACTTCATTCAGTTTAATGCAACCCTTGCCACACATTTCAAATTAGAATGACTTTATGGTTTATAGAGATGCTAGCAAGAATGAATACATCTATGTTCTACAAATTTCATGTGTCATGCTACCTAGTATTTCCTTTAGGACAATTTTCTATATTCATATCTGACAAAGTTTTAAATTCATGGCCTGTAGCTCTGATACTACCATGTAATTCATGGCTTCAGCTAATGCTGAAACCTGATGAATTTCTATTCAAAGTACATCAACATTCAGAACCATTACATACTCACCCTGAAAATGGCAAATGCAATGCTTGCTAAAATAAAGAAAAATTCTAAACATTCAATGTGGATCATCCCCAAAAGCTGAAGTTGTACATTCAGCAGAATAGTATAAAACAGGTCAGGGGAGCACTGGACTTAGGTAGTGCCAACTACCCTGGCTGCTATGAACCCTGGAACTACTCTGGCCCTCCATGGCTTTTCAAAGTTCCTCCTGGCACTTACAGGCACTTGGTCTTTGCCAGTTTAAACCTGCTTACCTTAAAGGCTAACTATTGTAGGACACCTTCAGCCAGAGGTTTGCTGGAACTGCCAGCTCCCCTGAGGTGGAATGCCAGAACTGCTGGCTCCCTACTGAGAAGGACCAACTTTCATATAGAGACTCTGTATCAGAGAACTCCTTCGCATGTCTTCTGCCATTTCCGTTTCATTTCCTCGTGTTCCATTTTTGTTTCACAAGAACCAGAGAACAAAAGTCACTGCCCACAGAGCCCCCTACAGGTGGACGGCATTGTTACAATGGGATGCTTCCCAGTGCCCCAAAGGGATCATTAATGACACTGCTACCACCACCACCCCAGTGCCATGCAGCCATCAGTATAATATTAATACCACATACCTTGGTGTTGGTGGACCAGAGCACTGCTCTCAGTCCAATGATGTTCACATCCTCTGCAATAAGGATGCCAAGGGATAGATTTGGAAGGATGAAGGTCCATAAAGAAATAGATGAACTTGGAGTACCACTTTCAACCATGTTTGATAAAGCAAAGGAAGACCTGGCAATAAAGGCATTTTGTCCAATGTTCACAAATGAATTGTGACTAGCGCATGAAATGATATCATGAAGACTGTGATTTTATTTTGGAACGATTTCCAATTGCCAGTTCTTCAGCAACACAAATAAGAAAGGGATGTGACTTCTCAGAGAGCCTGCATATTTGTAACCACTGTAGTCCAAAACCTGGACTACATTAATGGACTGGAAATGGTTTACACATGTTACAAATGCAAAAACAACCTATTTCTACAATGTAACTATTAAAATACCTGCTACAACATTATGTAGTTCTTCAGGTTGCACCTTGATGAGAGGGTAAGGTGCTTGTTGAACACGACGTACACTGCGCACATAGCCTGTGTTGTTACGTATTTGTGTCAAGTTGCAAAAGTTAATGATATATGGAAAAGCTGCATATGTCTTGCTTACATCAGTTGTCTGGTCCCCCTGCACAAAAGCAGATGTTAAATCAAACTGTAAATTTTCAGTGGAATGTCTTTATCCTTGATAACACAAACATTTATTCTTTTCAAGATTTATCATGCATCATTTTCTCTGGTTAAAATTTTTTTTTTCTCTGAGCACAGTATTAAAACTTAAAGCTATCTTGCTACACACCATGGGGATACTTGAAGGCACAGGAGGTACAATTCCTACTCAGTTTTGACATCAGCACTATATGGGGGTGAGTGAACGGCATCATGCCCTAATCAATTTTTAACCCTAAGGAAAAGACCCCGGCATCCATTACATAGGAGGCTGCATGGGCCCCAGAGCCAGTATGGTTGCAGAGGCCACTTGCCCATGCCATAATCAAATACTGACTCAGCTGGCCTGGTTTGAGCGTATTATTGTGGAATGTCAGTATCTTCAGACCTTTACTGCATAGTCAAATTTATTATTAGCAACAATGTGTACCCACTAAAAATTTAACTAAATAGTGAACAGATGTGTTATTAAAATATATAATAAAATTCAGGTCAATACACAAAACTTTATTGGATGTTAAAATTTAAAATTTAAATGTTAAAATTTTAAATTTTAAATTTGCGCTATTCATCACTATAAGGATGTTACAATAGAGCGCTTTCTTTCATTTCACAACATGTTTCGATGTAATACATCATCTTCAGGTGTTGTTTTTATTTAAAACTATTTTATATTTTAATGCATGCCTTTCAATATATTAATTATTGTATAAAAATATTAATTGCATTAAAATATAAAATAGTTTTAAATAAAAACAACACCTGAAGATGATGTATTACATCGAAACATGTTGTGAAATGAAAGAAAGCGCTCTATTGTAACATCCTTATAGTGATGAATAGCGCAAATTTAAAATTTAAAATTTTAACATTTAAATTTTAAATTTTAACATCCAATAAAGTTTTGTGTATTGACCTGAATTTTATTATATATTTTAATCAAAACACAAACATGACGCATGTAAACCTTAAAGATGTGTTATTGGTAAATATAAAGTGTGTTCAATGAGCAAACAAACACTGATATAAAATCTTAAACAGCATCAGGAGTACAAATTGTCTGTGATTACTTAATTTATATTGAGTTGTGCAGTTGCTTACAATAAGTATGCAGAGCATGAATATACAATGGCAACCAATTTACTGTGTTTTACTATTCTTCAGATGCTAAAATCTATTGAGATGGGAGAGAAGTGTAAATGTACGTGAAAACATTACCATCCAAACAGCACCTTCACCATGGACAATATCTTACTCATGATGTATGAAGAACATACATTTATCTGAGGTTCAAGATTTTCAATTACTCACCCTTGCCCATGCTTCCTCTATGAGGCACTGGATTTCCATATCATACGTATGCCACTCCCCTGGTGCGTCTCCTGCCCACTCCCACTTAGCCCCTTTGCCAGCAGGTGAGTCAGGTACATAGCATTTTCTATGCACATTGTAAGGAACACCTAATACAGTATAACAAAGGAAACATGTATGCCAGAGCAAACACTTTTTCAAATGTGTCCATTTATCACACACATAAATTTACAGTGGGGTTCAGGGGGTAGTGATGTGCATTTCACAACCTCTCCTACCCAACTTCAAGAATTCTAATAAATAACCAAATAACTTAATAAATAAATACGGGATGACAATCTCGACAGAAAAAACAAAGGCATTCTGTGGTTGAGAACCAACAAAAAGGAACATTATTGAACAAATAAATGCTTTGAATTACCTCGGATCATATGAAGCAGAAAAAGACATAGATGACAAACTTTCAGAATTTCTGAAAGTTACAGGCCTTATCAGCATGATTTTTAAACCATCAGAAGTCCAAAAACGAACTAGAATAAAAATATATAATACTTTGGCACTACCCAAAATTTTATATGGTAGTGAAAACTAGACATTGAAAAAAGACAAACATATTACAGCCGCTGAGATGAAATTTGACACGCACTGCAAAGTGCACCTGGAAAGACTATAAAAGAAATTAAGACATACTTAAAGAGTTAAAAATAGAATCCATTTCAGACAAAATTTTGAAATATAAAAAAAATTGGCTTCAGCATGTTAACAGAATGCAGAGAGACAGACTTCCCAAATTATTAAAAACTACACACCATGTGGACAAAGAAACCCTGGAAGACTGCGGAAGAGACTTTTAGAATACGAAGCTGGAACGGGTCAATTTGACCTAACTCCTTGACTTTGATGATGACGACAAATTTACAGTTAAATTAATCACAATGTAAATCATATCAGTAAGAGTTGTAGTACTTCATGTGATCCACACTTTATGGTCTGCTCACTTAACCAGTAAGTAAAGTAAAGTTTGTCCCACTATACGCCATGTAGGCGCTTGGGGGGAGTGGAGGTATAGCTCCTCTCTTCCTTGACCTCGGCACTAGATGGGGGTGAGTGGTCAGCATCACGCCCCGGCCGGCTTTACCCCCAGGAAAGGACCCCGGTACCCATTGTAGAGGAGGCTGGGTGGGCCCCAGAGCCG